TTTTTTTTCACCATGTTTTTTTTTATTATTTATGTACAGCCTTGCTAAATCTTGCTAAGCATTCAAAAGAGATAATGCTTGCACCTGTTATCCATATTTTAAAATCGTTTTTTGAGTATGTTCCACTATTCACAATTCTACAAAATTTCAACAGCCAAGCCAACAATTTCTATAGCCAAGACTTTTTGGATAATAAAAAGCAAAAAAAAAAATTTCACTCCCAAGTGCCCATGAACCTGTATCTCTACCTTAAGGACTTCATCGTTCTAAAGTCGAATACTGCGAACTTCGCCGTTTCTAATGCTCCCAAACTAGTTATATTCATTTACCATACGATTGTGTGAAAATGTTGACAATCTGTCGTTATGAACGTAAATGTATTGACGACTCCAAGGTTAGTATGTTATTTTTAATTTCAGGAAAGAAACTGACGATAAAATACATGTATTAAATAAAATACTAGTATTACAATTTGTGACCGATAATATACGATTTGTCGCAAGTTGTTTATGTCCCTCGCCTCTATGCAAATAACAACAGTTCAACAAAGCTGATATCGACAAGTAGCGGTGATTTGTGGATCTGACAGACAGCTGCTTACACAAAGGTTGAAAAGTTTTAAAAAATGGTGTGTTTTGTTAATATCCATTTTGTAGGAGTTTGAGCTGGCTGTATTTTTGTTTTGTTTTTTTGTAAGAACATAAACGCGGGTTTCTGCAAATTAGAACAATATTTTGATATTTGTAGACCTTTTTGTTCTCTTATTTTTGTGTGTGAAATTAATCCAAACGCAAACATTGTCGTCTGTGGGTATCTGATTAGCGGTATGAGCCGTAGCACGCTATTTATTTATGAATGCTTGAGGGCGCTATCATCACAAGTACATGATGCTACACCTGTTGAAAGTGGTTACAGTAATGAGATGGTGTATGAAAAAATATTTACAATGTTTGCAATGCATTTGTTTTTTCTACCAATTATGCATGAAAATTGATAATAAAAATATCGATACGAATAATATAAACATAACTGATGACGTAACATGTACACAGCCAGCAGCCACCACTGCGAAAAGAAAAACATAAAATGCATTAATACAACATGTGAGAAGCTAATACTATAGAGTTGTGTCAAATAATATTATGTCGTGGGCTTGAATAGTTTGTACGGCAGTTTACAATAGACTTAAATGGCCGCCGAGATCTCGTTGAGAGCCTGAGCCACTAGACTTGTTTCGCTCTCTCGAATAATGCTCCGTTCTCCCCATTCATCGCGTTTACTGTTCCAAATAGCGGGGTCACAGAGTTCAGAGGAACAGTGACGGGACACTATTTGAAGAACAAAAACAAGTCTCGTGGCTCTCTCGCCCTCAACGAGATCTTGGCGGCCATTTGCATGTAAGGTATATAAGGGTCAATCATTTGAAATCATCATGGAGGTAACCAGCGCATGTTTCCGTGGTGTCTTGCCTACATTTTCATTTTTTTCCTGATTTTTTCTCTGCAAACCTGATATGCTTTTTTTTTTCTCTCGGTGACTCTTGCTTGCAATTATTTTCAAACAAATCTTCCAGCCTCTTTCATGATTTCAAATGGACAACCCCTAGGACGATATGAAATGTACATACGTGTATCGCATCGACTTCCGCCATAACCACCGGAGCATGCACACACCTCCTGTTCACCAACCACGATGCATCGTCCGTCATTAAAGCATGCACCTTCCCCACACAGGTCAAGCTCTGTAGCCAAAAAAAATGAAATAGTTTAAGAACGTTGCTATGAATTAATAGTATGCACGCTGTAGTGTGAACGACTTTGTCATTAGAAAAGAGAAGCATATAAGTACAGGAAGTAAGCGATCACTCAAGAAAATATTTTCGTGGTTTGTATTTTAATGTATTTTATGCGCACGTGTCTCACGTTCACACCTACTCTGGCACTGCTTAATCCGTCGTGACGGGGCACATGATGCAGATGTTACAGTCGCTATTGTATTTTATAGCAAGCGCAGCAAGGGTGGCCGAAGCCTACTTACTTTGTTCGCATTTGTCTCCAGCCCATCCATCGGGGCATACGCAAACAGGCCCCGATGACGTCTTACGACACTGGCCTCGTTCGCAAGGTCCAGAATTTTCGCACATATTTAAATCTACAAGATAACAAAAAATTATGTTTTGGATGATTGTGACGGAATTTGACGGAATCATCACTTTTATTCCTAATTTATAACTAAATATATTACAAATGTATAAATATATGTCCTACCGATTTCGCAGTTATAACCGTTGAATCCCATCGGACAAGTACAAACATAACCCATCTCCATGTCGGAATTCATAAAGCAAACGCCACCGTTTTCACAAACCATGTTCAAATAATCCGGACACGTCAGAAAAGCTGTGTGAATGAAAGAATAACAATAATTTTTTGGGTAGATGTAATCGCAAATTTTGTAAAGGTCAGGTACGACGAAATACGCGTAAATATAACAAGATGTGTAACTTACAATTTTCGCAGTATGTCCCTGAATAACCCAGTGGACAGACGCAATAAAATCCGTCCAGCAGAGTCGGGTCGCTGTTACACTGTCCACCATTTTGGCATAGTTCTCTTGCGCATGGATCCTCTGTCACGTGTTAAAAACAAACAATTTGATTGGTCACAAAAGTGGTGCAGCAAGAGAAATTTTATGTACGTGGTAGCGCTGTATTGTTGTATTTAGTTAGTTATTTATATACACACCTGTGTCGCAATGAGTCCCGATAAAGCCCTGTAAACACTGGCAAACGTATGTACCGGGTTGGTTTGGTACAGGGTAGCAGTTGCCCCCATTCTCACAAGGTTCGAAGCCGCAGGGATCCACTGCAACAACATAGATTGAAGAAGATTAGATTAGTAGCATACAACTTTTGAAAAAAATCATTAAATTAAGCCTTTATACCTATTTAGTATTTTTTTACAGAGGGAATTATTGTTCTCAGTAACAACAAATGATTACAAGCAACAGACACCCTTAAAGAGTAAGTCGCCGTGCTTAATCAAATATTTTTCTATATTGTCGTAGGTGGCGCACTTTCATTTTACGGGAGAAATGTGAAATATACGCCTACGGCAGGTGTGAAGCGTTAACAAATTAAATATGAAACAAGCAATCAAATGTCTGTTTGGTATTCAACAAAATTATCTTATTCACACTTACACTGATCACATGTCGTCCCTGAATATCCAGTTTGACACTGACAACTGTATCCGATAGACTGGCTAATATCGACAATACAGTCACCACCATGCATGCAGGGCTGCGATCCACACGGATTTGCTAGGAATAATAATGAATACGGTTTGGTAAACTTCATTGTAATCAATATGTTAGTTAGGGCGAATGTATCATCAAAACAGATATATACACGCAACGTGTGTTTAACCCACAATTCAATGTAAAAGTACAATGGTCTGAAAGGATAAGGGTTAAACTTTGCTATAGTCACGGAGGTTACTTCAATGTATCGAAACTAGTCAACCTGCTCTCACCGATTTCACAGAATGTTCCAGTGTAACTGCTAGGACATTCACACGTGTATACATTTGGATTATTCGTGTCACTGTTACATCTTCCACCATTCTGACAAGGTTGGCTACCGCATGGGTTAGCTGAAAAGCAACGACAGGGATCAATTCATGATGTGAAGGAATTTGATAGGAATGACAGGATTCAGCTGATCAGAACACCGCATTCTTTTACTTGGCGGTATCACGAGCCATGTAACTTTTTTAAAACTTGATAATTGGATATTTAGTTGATATTGCCATCCTGGCCCGTGAATTCACTTCAATATCGCTCCACAAAAACGTGAATATGATTGGCTGTCAAAGTCGTATAATAATAAATATTGAGATGATAGGCAGTCAAACAATGCTAGTAGTCTATCTATCTATCATTACACGTAGTTATATTACGGTTCATTTACTGAGAGCGGCGGTATAAAGGCTCGAATGACTCACGTTCCTCGCAGTTGGTCCCCGTATATACTGATGAACATTGGCAGATATATCCTCTTTGTAGACTGGTAGTCCTGTAACAAGTTCCATCGTTTTGACAAGGATATGGACCACACGGGTTCCCTGAAGAACAAATATAAATAATTACGCCTGTCATCTTAAAGTGAAATGTCACAATATTTAAAACCATCACTGTCATTGCAGTACGTTTCTGTTCCGACATGGACGTCATGTGATGTATACAATGCGTTTTGATTGACGTGTTGCAAGGTTATGTCATATAAAGTATAAAAGGGCATGGAATGAATCAACTCAACAGTTTCAAAAAAGGAATTCGCTAGTGATGACACATCCCCCGGAAATGTTTTAGGAGAGAGTAGATGTCACTGTTTTGATCGGAAAACTGTGGTGTACCAACTAACGTATTTGGTTAAAGCTAAATAGAAGTACATGTGTCATTTGTGGAATATGCATGAGTAGTTTCAGTCTAAGAAAACAAGGATACCATATACCACTTTGTAATATATGCAAATATGCAAATGAGCATGCAATTTACATATTGGGTCTACTGAAAGTATATGATCATCACACACATACCAAGTTTTATAATGATCCGTGTTGAGGTGTTTTTTTCAGAACACTTGGACTTATTTGGGGTTTTGTGAATTCATTCATTGTGTGGATTTCACTTAGTCTGAAAGCTTCTCAGTTCAATAAGTATGACTGGAAAATGTTATTGATTCTTTGCTGTTATGGCTTTCGAAATTCAATTTTATTTTGCTTCTGTGCTTTTTCAATTGTTTGTTCAGTTAACACCACTAATATTTAAATTATTGATTAGTATTGCTTAAGATCACATGTTTTATAATACACGCCATTAATTAACATATATCGATCAAGTAAAATACAACGGAAAAACAAATACAAATAGGGATTATAAACATTGAATTTACTCACAAATCTCGCAGTTAGTCCCCGTGAAGGAGTCTAAACACTGGCATACGTATCCCTCGATCTTCGAAGAATCTTCATAACACAGGCCATTATTTAAACAAGGATTCAGCTCACATCTATCAGCTGATAAAAAAAATAAACGATTACGTCTATCTAATATATCGAGGTATATATATATATATATTCTGTAAGATTGCCAAGACAGTTTTCACTTGTTGTTTCGTCTCACACAAAACAAAATGCGAGACACGCAATCTATTTAAACATTAAACAAATATCAAAACTATAATCAATTATACACCCGGCTTTACTCACCTTGTTCACAATTTCTTCCTTCAAACCCACTAATACACTGGCAAAGGTACCCCTCGGGTTGATCCGGAGTATTAAAGCATTGTCCACCATTTTGGCAAGGTCTGTCGCTACACGGATTCGCTTTTGAAATTCCAAAAAAGAATTATGAATATATATCAATATATTAATTGCACGCAATTTGTGCTGATTGTGTATTTTTTGGCAAAGAAGAGCTCAACAATCACACCTTCCTTAGCTAGATATGATGCGTAAAGAGACGTTTTCCGATAATGCGTGAACCTCAACACCGTATGGTTTAATAATAAGACATAGTTTTAAGTTTTAAACAAGTCTTTAAAAGCATACCTTGTTCGCAATTGGTGCCCGTATATTCCTGTGGACACTGACAGAAATATTCCCCAGGTATAGTCGTTGAAGTGACGCACTGTCCCCCATTTTGGCATGGCAACGTACCGCATGGATCAACTAGCAAAACAGAATATTACAGAAATTGTTTGAATTATCATCAAACTTTTTTGTTTTGTTTGTTTTGGATCAAACACTAGAATTACTACAACGTCTTGTAACTTTTAGAAAATGTATGCCCATTGCTGTTCTGTTTCAAACGTTCAAAACAAACTGAAAGACTCTGCCCGGATATTGTATTACTACCACTCACCCACGGCACAATTTGTTCCAATAAAGCCATTCGAGCATTGACAGGAATAACCAGACGCTTGGTTAAAATCTTCGTAGCATATGCCACCATTTTGACAAGGTTGTGTTCCACAGGGATTTGCTGCGAACAATACAACATAACATGACTGCATTGCACAACTATTCAAACCTAACCACTTATTACAAACGATATTAATTTAATATAACAATTTATTAGTAAATGGAAAGTAAACGAACGTGTAAGGAGACACGTACACTAACATACGTGTCTGGTACATACATCTTTCACAGTTAATTCCGGTAAAACTCTTCGGACATTGACATACGTAACCACCAACCTCAGCGGGATCGTTAATACATTCTCCGCCATTTAGACATGGCTGCGTAACACATGCATTTCCTGAAAATACACGTAATGTATTAGTAATCAGTCCATACCATGGCTGTAAAAGACTGCAGTATTACATTTTTAGAAAGATATTTTTATGTTAATCAATTATAAAATAAACTGTGTGGAATATGCACTTTATTTTACCTTGAGCACAATTAATTCCGGAGTATCCCAACATGCAATCGCAGTAATATCCACTTGGAAGTTCGGTGTTAATGATGCAACTTCCGCCGTTTTGACAAGGTTGAACACCACAAGGATTGTCTGAAAAAGATGAATTAAGCAATCTTAAAGCAAGAAATATAATACACATTTCAACACATTTATAATAGTATAACACGACATACTAGTATTTTATATAATCTATAGAGAACTTCGTACTTACAATTTTCGCAATTGCTGCCTGAAAACGCATTCGTACACTGACATGTATATCCAAGAGTATTGGCTGGATCGTCGTAGCATTGACCGCCATTCATGCAAGGGTTATTGCGACATGGATTCGCTAAAATTAAGGAAGCGGTTGGTGTATTATTAGATATTCCGACTGTGATACCATCAAATTTGAAAGGGTATATAGTAAATGTTATGAAAAATTCAATGTAGCTGCTATTAACTGGACTAGAATTAATAGTGATGCCAATGATGTTTCGCTTTGGTAACTCCCATGACTGCAAATCGAACCACTACAATGAATAATACATACTCAGTTCGCAGTTTGAACCTGAATATTGATCCAGGCACTGACACAGGTATCCTGTTGGTAAGTCTGGAATATCGAAGCAAGAACCTCCATTAAGACATGGCTGGCTTCCGCAAGGAGATCCTGTGAACAAAATACAGAAAAATATGGTAGAATTTACAACACATTCATTGTGTATATTTTGGTATAAATACACACATTTCGCTACCATAAAAACATAGTACAAATTCTGTGTAATTTTTCACATACGAGCAAGTCATTGATATTTAAAGTTTTTAAGTAGAAAAAGAGATGTATTTTCAAGAAAACATATTGAAAATATTCCCAAAAGTGACTATTTTGAAACATTTTTCATAGTAATCCATGTTAACATATTATTCCATGAATAACATATACTATTATATAAATTCTCATATATATAGAATTTTTTTTGTGACAGTCATATGTAACTCCATTACACTACAAATTATTTTTAGCATGCAAATTGTAAACTGTTCAAAACTGCTCAAAATGTTTGATCAATTTTGTTCCATGAATAATTAGTATTAAAAATTCTCATTTTTTTTTTGTGAAAGTCATATGTAGCTCTCATAGCATACAAATTGTAAACTGCTCAAAACAAACATTTTTGATCAATTTAGTTCGGTCACTTTATAATTTTTATAATTTCGATGATTTCTGAGTATAGCGCGTAACCTGCCATTTTGACAAAGGAAATGTCAACACCGCGAATTTGGTCAAATCAATGAATCATATAGCCGAGGAAAAAACTATGCACTCAGAGACTACAGACCAGACGCTACTAACCGATTTCACAGTTCAGCCCCGTGTATCCTCCAAAGCACTGGCACAAATATCCTGCATTTATATTCACATCTTCCTCACAAAGACCACCATTAAGACAGGGGTTCGTTGAGCAGAGAGTGTCTGACAAAAATATAATATGTTATAATAAGGGTACGATTCAAGGGATCAGTTTTTAATTTTTTATATAATAGTTTCTGCTATTGCGACTAATATTACGTGTAGGTATACAGATTCGCTGATTACTAATATTAATACTAAACTACAGTACATATTGCAAATAATATTGTAGTTCACCACTATATACGTTACGATACAAGATTCAAACTTACCTTTCAGCAGTTATCGGCTACATACACATACTGAGTTTACTTTTATGGAGTGCACATTAACATATACAGCGTAGAAATAGACGCAGTATTATGCGCGTAATGAGCGTGGCATGTAACACAACGTTAGTGCGAATCTAATGGTTACCATGTTAATATCAAGTACACTAGCCAAGCAGGTATGTAATTAGTCTCGCTTCTACTTATTCAATGTGAGTGACATGTGAATATAATTTTTAACAGTTATTCTGTAACGAATAAGTATAAGTTGTTAATAATTAATATGAAGGTTATAGTACCAATTGTTCAACTATAATTTGACAGTTGACTGCAAATGCTCATGTTAATTACCTAATTAATTATGTTAATTACCTAATTAGTTAATTGTTAATATTGCACACATACGTAAGAAAAAAGGTGACTTTTGTCGATTTCAATAACATATTCAGTGTACTCCTTTTTCCAACAGTATTCTATGGGAATTACTCTCGGTGGAAAAACATGTGCCCCAATTTAAAAAAAAAATACCCGCTCTGCTACATTCCAAGAACCCATCCAGAGATTATGACAATATAATCAAGATCAAAATCGTAAAAATAAATTCTGGAAATCCTAATGCAAATTAGCGAGTTCGTGAAAACTGGTTGGTGTTCGTCTCTAACAATTTTTCGAAGTGTTATTGTTTATATTCTCAAAACGTTTAATACGTGCGTGTTACAGGTTTGCATGCGACTATAATCCCAACCATTTCTGTTCAGGCATTGGAATACTCCCAATCACCCGCTGCGTCCGTTGACGCTATTGGATAGAAATACATTGACGCACGAGGAATGGGGTCGCTTTAAATCGCCCACAAAGCGCGAGGGTGTGCTTCTCTTGAAACATTCATTGCGTATTATCATAAGTCATTATAATATATATCATTGATATTAAATATAATAGACGCAATATTTATATATAGCTACTGTATAATTGAACCTAAATTTTGTTTGTATGTTGTACTTTGAAGTATTTGTATTTTGTATGAGCGTTTACCCCAAGTCAAAACACAAATATATCCACACATATTGACACAATGAGTTATGTAACACAAAAACTATTATAATATAATCAATGTATGAATACGTGTGAAATAATTA